TATATACACACACATTATTCATAGATTCCAATAGTTCAATATTGATATGTTAGAATATCCCAAACTTGAGCAAAGATAAGCCTTTTTGATGTTTCTTCATTCAAAATTACTGAAAATCAGAAGCTGAAATAAACTCCTGAGATCATTCTCTGAAATAGGGAGGTTCCCATAAATCTTGGCTCCTGGCTCATCTATCCAATTAAAAAGGTGACATCACAACACCTGTTCCAAATCCAAACACTCAGTGTTGGGAAAAGAACTTCCCTTGTCAATTAAAAATGATTTAAATACCTTCTTTATAATGCTGTTTAGTGGTTTAAACAGTTCACCAACTCCACCAGGAATCCCAAAGACTTTCCCTCCAAAGATTCCTGTAAAACAGCAATAATCAATAGAAAATCACTTGAACCCTTTAATTGTCCTCTACAATATGACCAAAAGTACCACAGCTTCAGTTTAGACATTTATTTTCCTGGCAAGCGTTCCAGCTTGATTTCATCTAGAACCCATTTATTTGTCTTTTTGGCAGTCCATGGTGCCCATAAAACTCTCCATCAAAACCATATTTTAAAGAATCTACTTCCTTCCTGTCAGCTTACTTCATGCTCCAACTTTCACACCCATGCATAGTAACAGGTAATAGTATGGCATGAGTTATCCTGATCTTGGTCACCAGTAATCATCCTTATATTGAAGAATCTTTTCTAGCTCCTTCATGGCTGCCCTTCCCAATCTTAATTTCCTTCTGATTTCTTGGTTGCAGTATCCCTATTGGTTGATGATGGCGCCAACAAATAGAAAATGTTGGACAATTTCATTGTCTGCATCATCATCCTTAAAGCTGTGTTAATTCCCCAGTACTCATTACTTTTGTCTTCTTGATGATCAGCTGTAATCCTGCTTTGGAACTTCCTGCCTGCTCAGGAACCATTTCAAGTCTTCCCTATTTTCTGTCAGTCATGTGGTGTCATCTACACATGTTAAATTGTTAATGTTCCTTCCACCAATTTTCACTCTGCCTTCATCTAAATCTAATCCATCTTTCTTTATGATACATTCTGCACACAGAGTGAAGAGATGGGGAAATAAAATACATCCTTGTCTGATACCTTTACCAATTGGAAACCATTTTGTTTCTACATATTCTGTCCTAACCGTAGCTTCTTGTCCAGAGTACAGGTTGCACATCAAAACAATCAGATGTTGTGTCACATCCATTTCTTTCAAAACCATTCAATTCCTTTCATGAACCACACAAGCAAATGTTTTTGCTGTTATCTATAAATCACAAACTGATTTTCTTCTGAAATTATATGGTATGCTCCAGTTATCATTGTCAATTTACAATATGACCTCTAGTGCCTCTTTTTGAATCCAGCTAGAACAGCTAGCTTTTTTTGATCCATATATGGTAAGATCCTTTGTTGTAAAATTTTGTGCATCGCTTTGCTTGCATGGAAAATTAATGCGATGGTCTGATAGTTGCTGCAATGTTTGACTTCTCCCTTTTTTCAGAGTTGGAATGTAGATTGAGTGTTTCCATTCTGTGGGCCACTATTCTGTTTTCCATATTTGTTGGCATATTCTTGTTAAGATTTCTATGGATTCAGTTCCTGTAGCTTGAAATAGCTCTGTTGATATCCCATCTACTTCTAGTGAAATTTATTCCAATTGCTTTGAATACAGCTTTCACTTCACTTTCTAAAATTACAAGTTCATCAAAAAATGAAGCTCTTTGAAGTAATCTGTTATGTAGTCATCTCTTCTGTGTAGTTCTTCAGTCTTTTTGTTATTTTGTCCTGATCAGATAATGTATTTTCATGTTGATCTTTCTTTCTTTCTTTCTTTTTGTCCCCCGTAGGGGATTTTTTAATTGCATTTTTCTCTAAACTACATTGAAAAAAGGGGAAGGGAAACTACATCTATGGGTGAAAGGAAAGAAAACCACTAAAAACCCAAGTATAGGAGATCATTACAAAAGTTTGTATCAGTGTTAGTCTAAATGCTAAGATTACACTGAATATGGTCAATTAAGCTATATTATTTATCTTTAAAACCATTATTTTAACTGTTTCAAGAAAATCACAAGAGCATCGTTAAAAACTTCAAGGCACAGATCAGAGTTCTTCAGCCTTCATTTTGTTTTATCTTTTCTAATCCTCAATTGATATTCTCATTTGGGGGGCTTCATGTTGATCTTTCAATTAGCCAGGGTTTGAATTTCCCTTTGATTTTCTGAATCTTGTGGAATAGATCTCTTGTTCTTTCTTTTTCGTTGTTCTCTTCTATTTCTTTGCACTGATTTTTATAACAGTTCTCTTTTTCTTTGTGAATGACACTGAAAAGCTGTATTTAGAGTTCTGTTCTATTTTTATTTCTTTTTTACTTTTGCTTCTCATCTAGCCTCAGCAGTTTTAAGAGTTTCATGAATCAACCATTGAAGCTTTTTCTTTATTTGGCTACATTAATAGTCTTTCTGCATTCTTCCTTGATAATATCTCTGGTTTCAACCCACATTTTTTCTGGTTCAGGTTCAACTGAACTTAGTAATGCAAATCTGTTCTTTACGTGTTCTTTCAAATTTTCAAGAATGTTATCTGGATTATACTTTGATGATATGATTGTTTTACCATTTTTCTTCAGCTTTATTCTGATTTTTGGTATTAATAAGTGATGGTCTGTTCCACAGTCAGCTCCTCATCTTGTTTTAAAAGAGAGAACAGAGCTCCTCCATCTTCTGTTTCTGATTATGTGATCTATTTGATTTCTTTATTGGCCATCCAGTGATGTCCATGTGTAGAATTGTCTGTTCAGTTGCCTGAAGCATCTGTTTGCAAGGAACAAAACTGTTAGACTTCACGAAATTCTGAGTCTCTCTCTCTTGCTTCATTTCACAATCCTAGTCCAGGTTTTCCAACAATATTTGATTCTGCTTTATTTCAAATAGGCTCCCTCTTTGTATATGCTTCCTTTTTCTGTAATATCTTTGGCACCCTTCTGATTTAGAGTGAGAGTTTAATGCTCTTTTTAATTCCCACTAGATTTGCACACAGCCACTCATCAAAGATCACTATATATGGACATGTGCACACAATCATGTTAACAATTCAAATATTTTGAAACAGAAGTATAGGAGACAGTGGCATGGATCATAAAATGTAGCCAAAAAAACTGGTGCTAAGATTGGTATGGAACATCTGAGCTTTAACTTCTTCAGTGTAAATCCTTGCTTTCTGTGAGCCTCAAAACCAGCTGTTTTTTCCCTTCTAAGTTCCTTCCTAAGAATATCCATGTGGTCTGTCTTGATATGCCTGGTCATGGGGAAACCACTTGTTTGCCAGGAGAAAACTACACTACGTTTGATCAGGTGAAAAGGATACACCAGGTAAGGCCTCTTTCTACATGTACTCAGATGTTTTCCAGCCTGACAAGTGAGAGGTTGTACTAAAAATTCATCTTTGAGGGCCAGAGATTCATATAGATCAGCTATGTCATGGCTGTGTCACTGTATAAATGGGGCTTTTAAGAGAAGCCCACCTATCTGTTTCTCCACTTGTTGGCCCTTTGCCTTACGGTTGCCCTGGCAGCTGAGGGGAGATTTTAGGCTACAAATGAAACCAAGTAGATGTAAGTGTTCCAGCTGACCTCTGAGTCCAATGCCAAGCTTGAATACCTGATAGTAAAAAGATTAAAATAGTAGAACTATTGAAAGCCATAGGATAGGGACCCAAAAAGAATCAAAAAGTTCCTAAATTTTTAAAGAATGGTCTTCAATTAAAAAATGGGATTTAAAGCCTGATCACATTTGAGAAAACTATTATCCTTGTGGGATGCAAAAACAGAAATATAGAACAGATAAAAACTTACATAATCAACACACTTATAGAGTCAGAAAGGCTATGACCCAGAGATATGAGATAGCTTCTTTAGAGTATGATACCAATGAGTTAGTATTTTAAATGCTTGGACCCTTGCACATATTATCGAAGAAGGGAATATATTCGATCTCCAGATTTGCAACCAGCTATGAACTGACAGCAGTTGCCTGCTCATGATCTTTCATATCCTCTTCAGATGTTGCATACATCCAAAATCTTCCTTTAGGAAACAGCTCAAGCCAGCACTGTAACACATAGCACACATTCTTTCACTTCATTCACACCTCTTTCTCTAGTTTGTCGAGTGCACTGGTCTGAACAGGAAGCCTTTCCATCTGGTTGGTATCTCCATGGGCGGAATGGTCGCTGGGGTCTACACTGCCCATTATCCATCTGAGGTCTGCTGCTTGTCTCTCCTGTGTCCAACTGGTGAGTGTTAAAATGCAGTCAAGCCAAGGGGAGCTCTGAAGCAGCTTATGCTGGAATTCAGAGGCCAAGGTGTCTGTTTCATTAGCCATAATATGGAAACAGAAACATAATCAGATATCACGGTCAACTGCAGCTACCCAAGACGATTAAAGAGAATCTCCATGTCCAGAGGAGCTGTATTTAGAGTTGCAACAGAAGCACTCTCTGAAAACAAGGGCTAAGCGACAACATGATGAGAAGGCCATCACAGGCTACTGGGGCAATGTGATCCAGCAGGGTACCTGTTATCTATTAACGCATTTCATGACGTTTTTATTCCATTGCTTCCTACAAGGAGTTTGGGGTGCATTGTTCATTATTCTCCATCCATTTTATGCTCACAACAACAGCCTCTCTGAGGGGTCATCTGAGAGAGTGTGTCACTAGGGCTGCCAACTCCAGGCTGGGAAGTTCCTGGAGATTTGGAAGTGAAACCTGGGGAGGATGAGGTTTGGGGAGGGAAGGGCCTTGATAGGTTATAAAGCCATAGGATTCCCCCTCCAAAGCAGCCGTTTTCTCCAGGGGAATTGATCTCTGTAGTTTAGAGATCATTTGTAATTACTGGAGATCTCAGGCCCCACCTGTGTTACCCAAATAGGCAGTCTCCACTTAATTTGGGGTGAATTAGCTTGGAGACAGAGTCAGAGGTGGGTAACTGGGATCTCCACCAATGTATACCAGGACTTTTCCATTTAAGAGAACTCTTGAAATAAACCTGGCAGATGTTCAACCAGAAAGGTTTTTATTAAAAAGAAAATGGAAATAAAAATGCATGAAGACACTGAAACACACACAGGAACTAACTAGGAAAAGCAGGGAGGAAGGGGAGATTTTTTTTTAGAGAAGGGCAATAATTATTACTGAACTTGAAGAGGTCTGCAGAAGCAGCAGTCGAAGAGCAAAATGGCCAGCGTTTTGGGGACGTGAAAGAGTAGACCCACAGGCAAGTGGGGGTGTGAGGAGGGATCCAAGGCGCACACACACACACACATACACACACACACAAACTGCTGGGTAGCAGGGTGCCATAGTTCTACAGCACACACACACACACATACACACACACACAAACTGCTGGGTAGCAGGGTGCCATAGTTTTAGGGCAAAACGTACCCTTAGGTTTGGGATGATATGCTTGCCAGAAGCAATGACTTTATGGCTTTAATGGAGGTGGACAAAAAGGTATGAGGGCTTGATGGCTCCACAAATACCGGATGAGAACAGCAATTCTGAAGGTGAAAGGTTTAAGTGTTGATTAATTGTCGCTTAATCAAGGTGTATTGGGTGAGGGGGAAAGAGGCAGGGGCTTTGATGGGATTTATGCTAAATGAATCAACAGGTCCTGGGCAACCCATTGTTCTAAAGTTATGCATCTCTCCAGGGCAAGGAGGGGGTAGTAGCCAGCCTCAAAACAGATTTCCCAGGCTAATGCCTGGCTGGCATTCATTTTGGTCCACTTTGGCCCAAGCAGTGCTCTGCACTAAGATATTGGGGTGAGGTATGGAGAGGTCTTTCTGCCTCTATAAGCTATAAACTCCCCCTCAGTGAGAGGAGGGGTCTGACTGCTAACACCTGGAGGCTGGCTGCCCTAAGGGTGTGACTGGTTCAAAGTCACCCAGTAAGCTTTATGACGGAGTAGGGATTTCAACCTGAATCTCCCACATCCTGGTCTGGCACTCTAACCCCTACACTTCGCACGTTCGTGTAAATATGCTTGGGATGAACAGGGTAAGAAACCATCACGAGGAAGCTACATTTTACTACACTCATCAGAGCCTTACAGCTCATAGCTCATCATGCCGGCAGCTACAAGCGTGGACGGTTTCAAGAGGGAATTGGAGAAACATATGGAGCAGAGGTCCATCAGTGGCTATTAGCCACAAGGTATAGATGGAAACTCTTGGTCTGTGGCAAGTGATGCTCTGTGTTGGTGCTGGGGGGGGGGGGGGGCGGGGGGGGGGGCTAAAATTGTGGTGGTGGGGGGGGGGGGGGGGGGACAGTGGGAGGGCGTCTAGTGTCCTGGCCCCGCTGGTGGACCTCCTGATGTCCACTGTGTGACAGAGTGTTGGACTGAATGGGTCACTGGCCTGATCCAACATTGGCTTCTCTTATGTTCTTATCTTTACAACGTCCCCAGCAATTGATGCAAATTAAAGAAGAAAAAAGAGTAGCCAAAGGCATGTACTTTCCCTGTAGACAAAATCCACTCTTCCTCCACAACACATATACACATCCATCCAAGGAAAAGTCTCTGTCCAACCAGATATACAGAGGTGGTCTTAGCCACAGGTCAGCTGGGGCCACTGGGGAAGGGCCGTTGCAGGCAGCAGCCAGCAATCCACTGTACAGCGGTCAGAGGTGGGCTCCCAACTGTTCTACAGCAGATAGCATTTGGCGGGCCACTGCTTGAGTCTCAACCAGCAGCCAGCAATCAGCTGTAGGGTGGTGGTGGGGCCTGAACACCCTGTCAGCTGCTACCTGATTCTCAGACAGCAGCTGCTCAGCAATCAGCAATCAAGGGGTGGGGCCTGAAGCCACCACAATTCCAAACGCTATGACAGCAAGGGAAGGATACTCCCTCCCTCGTCATTGTCACTTGTGGAGTTCTGGTGTCCACAGCAATCAGCTTTTGGGAGGAGGAAGGACCTCCCATATAGCTCAACTACCTGAGTCTCTGGCAATGGCTGGGGGTAATTTCCTGTAGCTTGGGGGAGCCCCTGCAGCTGACTGACACAGGCTGTCGCCTTGAAGCTGCTGCAGCCATGATTCCAGAGGTCATGTCAGATCCTCAAGCTATGGCCATCAGCTGTAGTGTGGGGACCCCCCCCCTTCCATGACCCTGCAGCTGATTGTCTCCACTGCCCTGAAGCTGGCCCACCCCATGATTCTTGGATCCCAGCCTTCACTTTTGCCCAGAGCCCTGGAATCACTAAAACTGGCCCTACAGCTGTGGCCTACCGTTCTCTTTCCTAAATTTATATTTCAGGTTACCAACTTTTTCTAGTGTGTTTCCTGTGCTTTTAACTTCTGTACCAGAAACAGAGTCAAGAAAGTGATGCTTTTCCTGGAAAAGTTAATCATATGATGGCAAAATTTTCAACTGTTCTTCATGTAGTTTGCCATTTTCCATAATTCAATAGAAATGACTTGGAGGCCTTCGAGGGGGGGGGGGGAATCCATAACCATAAATACTTCCCACCTCTGGCTGATCTGGTTTCTGCCTCCTTCTGGCATGTAGGCAGAGCTCTGCTCTCCCATAACCAAGGGTAGATAGATCTGAATCTTGTCTTCAACTTTCCCTGGAATCCTACTAAACTGTGCATTCTGTTCTCTTCTAATCCTTAGGATTGAATTACCCAAAAGATTCTGACATCATGAAGCGTGTGAAAAAGAATAGAAAAAACCACGACGTTTCTCTTGTTCCTTCGAATATACAGGAGGGAATAGAGATGTTCAGACTTGGTTTATACTATTCATGCATGGCTCCAAAACAGGTGAAAAAGTGGCATTGTAAACATGGGAAGACTGTGATGCCCTTATCCAAGTTAATTCTTGAGTTCATATTACAATGTAAAGTCGTAAGAAACACAGATCTAAATACCATCTAACTACTATGATAGCCCTTTCCAGGAATTGTCACTTCCTCTGAAAGAGGCAAGGCATATGTATTCTACACCAGTTTGGTGTAGTGGTTAAGTGCGCGGACTCTAATCTGGGAGAACTGGGTTTGATTCCCCACTCCTCCACTTGCACCTGGCTGGATGACCTTGGGCAAGCCGTAGCTCTGATAACAGCTGTTCTTGAAAAAGAGCAGTCTCTGTCAGAGCTCTCTCAGCCCCACCTACCTCATAGGGTGTCTGTTGTGGGGAGGGGAAGGGAAAGGAGTTTGTAAGCCACTCTGAGACACCTTTGGGTAGTGAAGGGCGGGGTATAAATCCAATCTTTTCTTCTTCTTCTTCTAGCTAAAGGGCATGTGTTCTGGTATGCATGCCCTGTGGCTTCAGATAACAAGTGTTGCTCCATTCAGACAAAATGGTGATCATTTATATCAGGAGAACTACATGCAGCACATTCTCTAACAACTGAAAAGAATTCTTTCATTCCTTTCCAAACTCTCATTTTCTTTCCACTGCATTTGTCAGTGTGGAAACTGTTTTACTGTTCTTAGGCCCCGGTCACACGGCAAAGTTGCCGCGGGAGAGGCACGGGAGTCCTGTGGATTTTTCGGGCGTGATCTCACCCCAACATCTGGGAAGTGCAGTGCTCCCGTGGCGAACACATGGCTCCCCGCCGAAGGTGCGGACTTAAAAACTAGTACCTACGAGGTACTAGTTTCCTGAAACCGCAGGCCAAGGGCGGGCGTCTGATCGCGTTCCTGGTGAACTTACGTGGCATCCGGCGCCCACCGCTGTTCATCTCCACAGGTTGCGCAACAGCACCCAACAGCGCATGCACACAAAGAGCGATTGTTAGTGCGATCGCGCAGCGCGCCTTCTGTGCCGTGCTGCAAGATACCCATCTGATTGGCATTTTGCCCGAACCACGGGACCTCGACTGGGATGTGTGCTCGGGCAGCCACACATTAGTTTCCTCCGGGGCAATTAGCCACGCCTCCCCCCCGATATCCGGCCCATGTGACCGGGGCCTTAGTTTTGTTTAATCTGTGAGTTGACCTGAGAGAGTCTCGTTGAAGTTCATGCAAAAAAATGCCACAACATGGCTATGAACCTTGGCTTCTCGCTGCTCTTTTACTATTGAATCGTGTCCAGACTTTGGGACACTCCTCTACTCAGTCATTCACAGTCACATCACATGACTATTAATCGGGCTAGCCTGGGCCACCCAGGTCAGGTTGTATTATTGCTGTGCCACTTCCCAGTGGCTGCTCTCTGTCTCTTAAATCCACATGCGGTCCTGTTCATGCCTCTTCTCGTATTGTCACGGCAGGACCAGGGGGCGTGACGCAAGCAAGCAAAAGTCCAGAAGCAGTCCGAGGTCAAGCCGAGCAAATCAGGCAGCGAGGTTCAAACAGGTTTAAATCGCAGTCCAAAAGCAGGGTCAGACATACCAGAGTTTCAAGTCCATAAATCACAACGATACCAGAGGAGTCAGAGATGAACGCAAAGTCAACGAAGCCGAGAGTCAAAAGCTGAGGATCAAGCCGATAATAATTCCACAAGGTCTGGAGCAGAGATGCAAGGATTCAGGTCCTGACAAACGACGTTTGCCAGCACAAATGACTGCTGGCAACAGACTTGCAGATATACAATGCTAGCCGGGAGCGAGGTCAGGATCCTGTCAATATTCAGGGCTAAGAGATCTTCTGGCAGGCATGCGTGCATTCTGTCTTCGCTCTCTCAGCTGCTGTCTCCGTACATTCCTGAGCCTGGTTACAGGTGGTGGTGAGTCTGATGACGAATTACTGGTATGCAGCAGAGACTGATCCCTTGCAGGTGTTCCCTGGGAGGCTCTATCCTCCTCACCACTTAGATAGCTTTCAGCTACAGGATCCAGTCTTTGCCTTTCTGCTGCAGTACTGTCCTCAGGAGCCTGTAAGTCCACAGGCTCCTGGCTGACAGGTGCCTCCTCAGGGGCATCAGCAAGGGCAGGCATGACATCAGCAGGGGCAGGCATGACACGTATCACATCTAGGATGAAGGGTAGGTAACTGGGGGGCACTCTAGGAAGGAACATCAGACTCCTACAGGATCTGAATTGCTCCCAGAGTTAGTGAGAGCTGTGTGTCCTCTCTCACTGTCACTGTCTCCTGTGGCCTTTGCTGTTGGTATCAGCAGTAATCCTACTATGAGCTGGGAGGAGGTTATTCCAATCCTGCTCTTATTGGTATTCCTCCTTCCTGTTCTCTGCCACATGCAGCAGTCCAGATACTTATCTTTTATGCATGGTTCCCGTGAAAGAAAAATGCAACACAGCCTCTTCTCCATCTCTTTTTCAAACTCTGAGTGAGGGGAGAGGATTGCTTGCTCAGTCTCTGTGAACAGGCATTATAGCACATTCACAAAGTTGCGCTATATACAGATTACAGATAAGAAATCGTATTTTATGTGTGCCGTGATCCTGCCCTGTACTTTCTGTGATCCAGTTCTTGTTTTTCCTCATAGCTCCTAAAGGGATTCTTTGTAGACTGGCTGCCAGACAACAATTTTTTCAGAAAATGTAAGTGCAGCTGCAAGAATGGCATGTACCTGTATGCGAAGTTGAGAGGGGTTTGTGGACACTGTGAGGGGTTGCTTAGGTTCTGAGTTCAGATCCACCCTCCACAGTGAATTCTAGGTTGTTCCATCTCCAGAAATCCCATCCCTTCTTATAATCATGTCCCACAGTACTTCTTTGGCTTCTTTCACATGTAATCCCAGCGTCACAGGAAGTGCTTCCATGTTCTACATTACAGCACTGCAGAAGTGCACATGTGAATAATACAATCAGATTGGGAGGGGCATACAGTATGTTTTCCCCCCAACTATGTAGCACCACTGATGGAGGGAGGTCCCCATATCAGAAGAAAAAATATTATTTAATGGGGGAATGTATATGCCCCCTCATGCGAGACCTGCTTAAGGCCCCTCACAGTGAGAAAACAATACAATAAATCAGAGAAACAACAAGCATATATGGCCTTGCTCACAGAGTTGTGCTACTCATACACATTTCTTTATTTTAAAGGCTACTTAGACATCTTCAGTGATGAGTCCTTGTACAGCCTTCAAGACAACATGAGCAAGATCAGGGTTCCAACACAGGTCATCTGGGGAAAAGATGACAAAGTAAGTATACTTTTCATTTATGTGCACCCCACGTCTCCAAATGTTTTGGGCATGAAAAATATGGTAATGATCCCACAACATGTTATTACATGTCTTTTTAAACATCCAGGATTTTAAAAACAAACAAACAAACCTCTTACTCAGCAAGTGTCCTGTTTTGCAGCATTTCCAAGTGAACATACACCAGTTGCTTTGGTATCCATGGAACTCCACTTAAAACCCCCTCCAAGACATGGAATATATTGGGCTTTTCCACATTCTCATTTCCCTTGTTTGTGTGTTCCTGTTGCTTCAGGGCTTTCCCCCCTGATCTGCCCATCTTGCTCCCTCTAGTGGTTGATCTAATAGTACTTCACTTTATGTTCAGTGTATCTCCCTGCAGATTTAAACTGCAGGTTTTTAAGCTGGACATAAAGTGATGTAATATCAAATAAGCCACTAGAGGGAGAAAAACACATGCATAACAGAACACCCCACCAAACAAGAGGAACACACAAGCAAGAAAAATGAGAATGCGAAAAAGCCCATTCTCTTTGGATACAGAGAACGGTGTGTCATAACATAGTTAACTTATTTTGAACAGTCTGTGGCAACTGAATCAATATATATTTTTAAAGTTCAATTTAATTTATTATAATAATTAATTACGTGATGCAGAGCTGGTATCAGCGGTCTGCAAGGTGGAGCAAATGCCTGAGGTCTTCCCAAGGAGTCCAGCTGCTGTAAAATAATTGTGTTTTTAATATTAAACAAAAAGTCCAGTGGTACCTTAGAGATTAACAACTGCCATTTGCCATTGCAAGCTGCGGTAAGGGGAAAAGATTCAGGTTTCAGACAGCTGCCAACCAGGGGCCATAAAAGCAAGAGGTTATAAAAATTCCATATCAACAATTCACATCAAACCTTGCCTCCTCCTCCCTTTCCCCATAAGATTTCACAGTATGATCTTCCTTCATATATCAGGGTCTATGAAGTACAACTGGGAACAGTAATATAAAGACGAGTTTGTTTTGGCTGGTGCATGAACTGCATCCGTTCATGAGTCAGGCAGATTTAGCCACAATGATCCATGTTTTAGTTACAGCTAGACTGGACCACTGCAATGCGCTCTACTTGGGGGTACCCTTGAAGAGTGTTTGGAGGCAGCAGCTAATGCAGAATCTTGCAGCTAGACTGCTGTTTGGAGCCGGCTATCAGGAGCATGTGACACAGATAGTACAATACCTTTATTGGCATACTAAATTTAACATGACATTTAGGATCAACATATAGAATTAAAATCCATACATAAGATAAACATAGATACATAAGATTATATAAGAATCAATTTGTAATAGCATTAGATTAGCAACAGAAATTTTGCAACCGCTCTAGTAACCCAACAATTGATTACAACATTCTTAAGATCGATTACCTGGGGTAAATTTCCGCACAGCTATTACAACAATTACACTGGCTACTGATATGCTCCTGAGCCTAGTTCAAGGTGTTAGTTTTGCACTTTAAAACCCTACATGGCTAGGAACCAGAGTATCTTCTCCCATAGGTTCCTGCCCCGGGAACTAAGATCACAGGGAGAGCCCTTGTGACTGTCCCATCCATGGAGCTCATTTGGTGGGTACAAAAGGTTGGGCCTTTTCAGGGACAGCCCAGTGATCATGGAGCCACCTCCCCAGGGACTTGTGCCGGTGGCCCCTTCACTTTTTATCGTTAGGAGCCAGTTGGAGATGGTTTTATTTAGGACATCATTTGGTTAAGTCTACTAGGAGACCTGAGTTGTGATTTTAAATTTTGGGTTTTACATTTTTAATATATTTTATGTATTTCATCTGTTGCAAGCTGCCTTGAGCTCCATGGGGAAGAACAACAGCTACAGTGTTTTAAATAAACAAATAAGTGGTAAAGGTAAAGGTAAAGGTTTCCTTGCTCGAAAGCCAGTCGAATCCGACTCTAGGGTTGCGGTGCTCATCTCCGTTTCAAAGAGCCAGCGCTGTCCGAAGACGTTTCCGTGGTCATGTGGCCGGCATGACTAAATACCAAGGCGCACGGAACGCTGTTACCTTCCCACCGAAGTGGTACCTATTTATCTACTTGCAATTTCTTGCTTTCGAACTGCTAGGTTGGCAGGAGCTGTAACTAGAGACAGGAGCTCACCCTGTCTTGCGGCACCCGGGTCTTGAACCGCTGAACTACTGACCTTCCACAGCCTGCAGTTCAGCGTCTTAACCACTTGAGCCAACTGCAAATTTCTTATGAATTTATGTTATGAATCTGAATGGGGATGATGAGGGAACAAAAAGCTGGGTTTTTTTCTAAGTGTCTTGGATTGTTTATGTGGACTTTTAAACATACTGCACTTGACAAACTGTGGGGCCCACCTGGCTTACAGTGTAGTAATATACTAAACCAGGGGTCATTTCGTAGAAAAAGAGCTAGGGGGACTTATTAGCATAACTCATTAGCATATGCCACACCCCCTGACATCACCGGAAGTGTGTCCTCCCCACAGCCGGCGGTGACCTCCAGCGGGCACCAGCAGGGAGCTCCAGGCCCCGCCCTCCCGCACCTCCCCCGGGGGGATGGCATCCCCCCGCGTCCCCCCCCAAATGACCCCTGTACTAAACCACTTTTCTCTTGAAAGCCAAGCATTTGCACTATGGCTACATCTACAGGGTGATGGTTTTTGTTTTAATTTTTAAAAAATAAAATTTCATTAAACTATAACAACAGAAAGAGAGAATGAACAAAAACATACCAAGTAAGTAAAGTGTCAAAAAAATGTACCCGTTGCATACTATCCACATAACCACAAAAACACAAGTACCAGCATTGAATTATCATGATTGTGCTTCTTGGATGACAGTTATTCTGTTTTGCTTTGATACAACCAAGAAGTCCAAATTCTGTATGATTTCTAAGCAAATTGAATGGGAAAGGGTGTGGTTAAAGAAGAAAGGGTAGAGCCAAAGGAAAGGGGCAAAATGGAAGAGGGTGTGGTTAGAGGAGAAAGGGGCCGTGCCAAAAGGGAAAGTGGACCTAGTTATACTCCATCACTCAGGGTCCACCGAAACCCAGAACTGGTCTTGATCAGATGTGTTAGTGGTAACAGCAAAGAATAGGTGTAAAAGAGACCGACTGCAGTGTATTTTGTGTCCTAATGAAACTCTGATGTAGGCATGTCTTGCTTTCCATCTTTTCCATCCTTGTTCTGGTTCTTATAAGGTGGGAACTTGGATTGTCAAGTGCTGTCTTCTCTTTGTCTTTTCTGCAGCCTATTGATATATTTAAAATATTTATGAACCTCCTTTCCCCAACAAGTGAGGCCAATGTAGTTTTTGTTAAAAACAAAACAGACCTCATACATGGATATGCTATATTTCAATTCTTTGTTCTACAGATGCTGGATGTATCCGGGGCAGAAGTTTTAGCCAAAGGTATTCCTCATGCCCAGATACATCTGCTGGAGAAATGTGGACACTTTCAACCGGTTGATTCCCCCCTGAAAACCTCTCAACTCCTCGTGGACTTCCACACTTCTTACACAAAGAATTAAAAACCGGAATAAGAACATAAGAACATAAGAGACGCCAATGTTGGATCAGGCCAAAGGCCCATCCAGTCCAACACTCTGTGTCACACAGTGGCCAGAAATACCAGTGCCATCAGGAGGTCCAGCAGTGGGGCCAGGACATTAGAAGCCCTCCCACTGTTGACCCCCCCCCCAAGCACCAAGAAGACAGAGCATCACTTGCCCCAGAGCCCCTAGCTATACCTTGTGGCTAATAGCCACTGATGGACCTCTGCTCCATATGCTTATCTAATTCCCTTTTGAAGCCGTCCATGCTTGTAGCACCCACCACTTCCTGTGGCAGTGAATTCCATGTGTTAATCACTCTTTGGGTGAAGAAATACTTCCTTTTATCCGTTCTAACCCGACCGCTCTGCAGTTTCATGGAGTGCCCACGAGTTCTTGTATTGTGAGAAAGGGAGAAAAGTACCTCTTTCTTTACCTGCTCTTTCCCATGCATAATCTTATAAACCTCGATCATGTCACCCCTCAGTCGTCTTTTCTCCAAGCTAAAGAGCCCTAAGCGCTTTAACCTTTCCTCATAGGGAAAGTGTTCCAACCCTTTTATCATTCGAGTTGCCCTTTTCTGCACTTTTTCCAAAGCTATAATATCCTTTTTAAGGTGTGGTGCCCAGAACTGCACACAGTATTCCAAATGAGGTCTCACCATTGATTTATATAGGGGCATTATTATATTGGCTGATCTGTTTTCAATACCCTTCCTAATAATCCCCAGCATAGCATTGGCCTTCTTTATTGCAGTCACACACTGTCTCGACATTTTCAGTGAGTTATCCACTACAACTCCAAGATCTCTCTCTTGCTCAGTCTCTGCCAGTTCAGACCCCATCAATGTGTATTTATATTTAGGATTTTTGGCTCCAATGTGCATCACCTTGCACTTGGCCACATTGAACCCCATTTGCCATGTTGACGCCCACTCGCCCATCCTTGACAGATCCCCTTGGAGTGCCTCACAATCCTCACTGGTTTTCACCACCCTGAACAACTTTGTATCATCCGCAAATTTAGCCACTTCACTGCTTACTCCCATCTCCAAATCATTAATGAACAAGTTAAAAAGCAGTGGACCAAGTACTGATCCCTGCGGTACCCCACTGCTTACCACCCTCCACTGAGAAAATTGCCCACCTACACTCACTCTCTGTTTTCTATGAACTAGCCAGTTTTTGATCCATAAAAGGACTTGTCCTTCTATCCCATGATTTTTGAGCTTACTTAGGAGCCTTTGATGAGGAACTTTATCAAAAGCTTTCTGGAAGTCAAGGTAAATAATATCTATTGGATCCCCCTTGTCCACATGTTTGTTCACCCCCTCAAAGAACACTAACAGGTTAGTGAGACAAGATCTTCCCTTACAGAAACCGTGCTGAGTCTGCCTCAATAGGTTTTGTTCATCTATGTGCCTACTAATTCTTTCCTTAATAATGGTTTCCACCAATTTACCCGGTATCGACGTCAGACTGACTGGCCTGTAATTTCCCGGATCTCCTCTGGAACCCTTTTTAAAGATGGGAGTGACATTAGCTACCTTCCAATCCTCAGGAATGGAGGCAGATTTTAAGGAAAGATTACATATCTTTGTCAGGAGATCTACAAGTTCACATTTGAGTTCTTTCAGAACTCTCGGATGTATGCCATCTGGGCCTGGTGATTTTTCAGTTTTTAAGTTGTCTATCAGTTTTAGGACCTCCTCTCTCGTCACCTCAATCTGACTCAGGTCTTTCAACACCCCTCCTGAAATCAGTGGTTCTGGAGTGGGCAAGCACTTCTCATCTTCCACAGTGAAGACGGAGGCAAAAAATGCATTTAGCTTCTCAGCCATTTCCCTATCATCCTTCAATACTCCTTTTACCCCTTGGTCGTCCAAGGGCCCCACTGCCTCCCTGGCTGGTTTCCTGTTTCTAATGTATTTGAAGAAAGTTTTATTGTTGGTTTTTACGTTTTTTGCTATATGCTCCTCATATTCCCTTTTTGCCTGCCTGACCTCAGACTTGCATTTTATTTGCCATAGAATTTGCCATTGGAATAAACCAAGAATCAAAAACAGCTGGGGTGTTTAATGTGACTTTGGGAAAGAGATCTTTTTTTCCTTAATGGCTTTGTAGATGTCTCTGGTGGAACAGTCCTGCTCTGGCCTGCAGGCCCCGTTCCACCCTGCCCTCCTGAGTTTTCCCCACACCTGGAGGGGCTTTTCTCTCTCTCTGTTCAACTGCCGCCACCCCCTGACCTCTGTAGGTATTGCCCCCTGGGAGGGTCAGGACTCCCAGCTTTCCTTCCAAGTTCTGAGGCCTTGCCTCTGTGTCTCCTGCTACCCAGTGGCCTTGTTACCACAGGGACCACTTAGAGCCTTGTGCACCACTAGGGGAGTAGCTACTGGCCAACTGACTGCCCTCCCCTTCCTCCTGATGCTCCTTTTAAAATAGCGTGTCCAGGGTTGTTGTTGTTGTTTTGGAAACTAGGCACCAGAACTCTCAAGAGGGAAATTAAGTTCCCAATCTGTATACTGAAAACTAATGAACTTTTAAAAATTTTAAAAACAACTTTGTCAAAGAGGTTCCAGAACTCTGTTCTGGTGCATTCCCCCAGAAAAAAATATTAATGTCCACAGTGGTGGAGGTCTATGTGGCACAGAGAACCACTACCAGAATCAAAAGTTACAAGGTAATTACTAAAAAGGAAATGTTCACAAGGATATTTTTAGCGCAGCCCCAGACTGAACAAGGGATTCAAAAGAAAAGGGTAAAATGCAGTTCCTCTGTTCCTCCCTCCATACATATCCTATCGGATGTTAAATATAAGGCAGGCTCCTTAGTTGAGAAAGTTACAGATCTTTACAGGAGTTTCATTACCTTCAAGCCCCATTCCAGTGTACAGGCTGACACATGTCAATGGCTGCCCCCCACAGATCTCAGATAAGAGTTCTGTCTGCCTCGATGGAACCATCAGTGCAGAGGTCCATCAGTGGCTATTAGCCACAAGGTATAGATAGGAACTCACAGGCTGGGGCAGGTGATGCACTGTATTCTTGGTGCTGGGGGGCAACAGTGGGAGGTCTTCTAGTGTTCTGGCCCCACTGATGGACCTCCTGATGGCACCTGGTATTTTTGGCCACTGTGTGACAGAGTGTTAGACTAGATGGGCCATTGGCCTGATCCAACATTGGCTTCTCTTATGTTCTTATGTTCTTAACCAGCACAAAAACACCCTCCTCCTTGCTCCCAGGAATTTTATTATTTCCTTCTCCTCCCAATGTTCCCTCTAAGCTGTGGAGTCTTGTGAGCAAAAATTCTTCTTTGTGAGCTGCTGGCATTAAAGTTGTGAGCGAGCGATTTGGCTGCTGCATAAATTAGTGTGCTCTGGAGCCATCCTTCCTGAGCTGAGACAAAAATATGTGAGCTGGAGGCTAAAAAAACTGTGAGCTAGCTCACACTAACTCAGCTTAGAGGGAACACTGCCTCCCACTGACCAGGTGAAGCCAGATCAAAGAAACTTTTCCTGAGGTCTCCAGGATTTTCTTTCTAGTACTTAATTCCTCTAAATCTCTGTTCTGGGTTTCTTTTGGTTTTTTTTTTTGGGGGGGGGAGCTTGACCATCCCATTGTCCCTTGCTAGACCTATTAGCTTCTCTAAAGGTGGCTGAGGTGAGGCTAGAAAGCAATTGCAGCGACTTTCCCCTCCTGCCTTTTCCCTGCCCACAGAATGCTTCATACTATGATCTGTGAACAGGTCTTCCTACAGTTTTTCATTGAACTAGACCCACAGTTGAGCAGGTGAAATGGTTTGAACCCCAACTTTTAGCCGAAAATTAAGCCAGTTGGGAAACTTGGGCCACATTCCAACTTTTATAGAAAGCTCCTACAAACACTGGCTCTTACTTCTGTTCCAGACCATCATGGGTGGAACATGTAAGGCCTGGTCATTTTAACAAAGAGAAGGGGTTTTTTTTAGACATTAGTACAGTACAAGCTAGTGGTTATATGTCAATGTTTTTTTTTTTCTGCTTTAGATCTGTATTTCCTCCAACCTGGTCCCCATCCTTTTAAATGACTTAGATTTTTTTAGTCAGAATAAAATTTATATTTATTTATTTATTACTTTGCCTTTTACCCCGCCCTCCCCGCTGAGGCAGGCTCAGGGCGGCTTACATAAAGAACCGATAGATAAAACAATAACATAAATATCAATATAAAATACATGATAAAATTAAAGTATTAGCATATCGATGGCGATGTGACTATGGTTAAGTGCATTTAGAAACATACAATCAGCGGTACATCCACTCTCGGCGGGCTCAGGCTGGCAGTAAATCAGCACAGGTCGTAGATGATGACATGCAACTCCTTACCTAAATGTGATACATTTCCCTTTTATTTTGGTCACGGAAACATGTAGATGCACCACTGAGGTAAGGGACCCAGAATGGCAGATTAAGAGTTAATCCCTCCCATCAGAATGTCTATACCTCCCCTTTTTTCCTCCACTCTAGGACCTGAGGAGTTTGCTACTCTTGAATAGGCCAATAGATGGCAGTGCAGACACCTATGGGGCATCATAGCACGCTGACTGGTATACCTTGCTTCTTGGAGTCTGTGGCAGACACTCTCCTGCCTTGGGAGGTGGAAAGGGGCCTGCCTTTGGGAAAGGAGACAATCTCTTACCTCTTGGGGTGGGTGGGTGGAAGCTTGGTGACTGTGCTCTGCCTGTCTTTCTATTGCTGAATAAATGATGCCTTTACTGTGAACCTGTTTCTGTGTTTTACTGAGCAGTCAAGGATAGAGGGAATTTCCTAACTCTGCACGATCCTGCCCTCTTGGAGTGGGCCCTGATTTCCCCCTTCCCTGCGGTGACAGAGGCTGCTGCATGGTTTGACCACCTATAAGAATTTTCCTTGCGTAGTGATGTTAACTGGTGGGCCCACCCTCTCCTGGCCATCCCTGCAGGGTAGGACAACTGCATGAAATGA